TGGGCAAGGAGGGAACGGAGTGTGGCGGAGGATAAAAGGTAAAAGGTAGAAGGTGGAAGGGTTCGAGGGTGGTAGGGTGAGAGGGTGAGTTAGAATAAAGCATTCCCCACCGAGAAGCTACGGACCAATCAGGAGTCCCGTAACTTTTTGCCCCTCGCGCATAGCCACCCCCGTACGTGATCCCGTCGCCGTATTTTTCCCCTCTGAGGTCGCGAGGCTGGGCTGGCGAGGCGGCGGCGCAGGAGGAGGGTGGCTGCTGCTCAGCGAATGTAGAAGGGGTGGCTCGGCGAACGATGCGCAGTACGCAACTTTTACGGGGATAATGGCGCCGTGAGCCCCCGACCTAGGGATCAATTTCGCAATAACATCCCTTACTTTCAAGGCTTCCACGATCGATCTTCGCGCGCTTTGAGACAACGGTTGTCTCAAGTCTCAGTCCCGATCACATCCAGGCCATAAGAAAAGCCCCAATACGACCTAATGTATCAGTCTTTCTAACACCTTCCGGTTATCTCCCCTCTTGCTTCTGGTACGAAACTCAGGGGTTTTCACTCGTGCGAGAAAGGACCTTCCGGAAATCAATGACCGCCACCCCTTCTCACTATTTCAGTTACCATTTACAAAAATCCCTAACACTCCTTTGTACGTTCGACAAATATTTTTTCTAGCCACTCCAAGAGAATCTAAAGCATCTTACAATTGTTTCCGATATCAGAAATTATACGATACCGAGATCAAAGGAGGTGGAAGCTGTGCAAAGGGTAGTTCCATAAACAAAGATTCGTCGCATACGTACGTGGCAATAAAAATCTAAAATATTCATGGCCATAAGCATTCAAATAGGGGATGCATCTCAGAAGAAGAAATACCTGAAGATGCAGATGGTCGAGGGATAGATGCAAACGAACTGCCCCGCGATGGTGCTGCTTCGATATTACGGAATAATTTTCCATAGCGACGATAAACAAGGTATAAATTTAAGCAAAAATCAAAAAGATCAAAGAAGATACTGTAATATAACCAACCGAGGGTAGTCAGCAGAGGGTAGCTAGGAATCAAGGATTCGGAGTATGCACGCGAGTTGGACGTATTAGGCTCTTGCTACGAATTTACCCTCGTATAGCCCAAGCCCACCCTCTCATTTTTCCTTCCCCACCAGTCCCTTTCTCGTGTCTCACCTCATCCCTCCCCTCAACCCTCACGCTCCCCGCACCCCCCCTCCCCCCGTCCTCACTCTCTTTCTCTATCGCTGCTCTGCGTGCTTTCGCGAAAATCCTCGCGATAAATTATGTCGTGCGGGGGAAATAAATGACCGTCCTCCCTCCTGACCGCCCTCACCCCCCCTGCAACCCCTTTACCACCCCCTCGCACCTCCGCCCCATCCACACGAAACCTCACAGACCTCTCTGTGCTTCGTTCGCCTCCGTCCCTCCGACGCGGCTGGACCCCCCTTCTCACTTCAACCCCCCTTCGCCCCCAGCGCCCCTCAGGTGGCGCCCTCCAGCCCCACGTACCCTGTACCCTGCACCGCGGTTCGTGTCCACCCTACGAACCAGCGAGCAACCGACGCCTCTGACCCCCCTCGTAGCCACCCCTCTCTAGGCTTGGTCAACGACGCGGCGGCCCTGCGAGCGAGGAAAGCCGGCTTTAAAATTATAATGGCACGCGCAATTTTGATAACCGTTGCCGGCGCGCTTTGATATTTTACTTCTATCCTGAACCACGTCGGACGCCGACGCTTCCATCATACCGAACGTCCTCTTTCACTGACTCCTAGGCATCTTCGTATCGTTCTCTTCATCATTATCCTGCGTCTCTTTTGGTACTAGAATTACGACTGGTGAAGAATGTATCCTTAAAAGAGACGTTCTACGCACACTTCGTGTAAAATTTTTTAGGGGATTTTACCTCATTTTTATGTATCATGATTTAGACACGAACCTATCCATTGGGAGTTGCGTAAGTTTACTGGGACTTTGGATGCTGTGTATCAATAAGAATTTGTATGCTTCAATGAATCCTCATAGTTTTCTATGGGTTCCGCGCTCATTCATTCTGCTCGAATTGACGCCGGATATTCCGTCGTGCAGTAATATTTCCGCATACTGTTGCTTCGTGCGTACTACAATATTATCGATATGGTAATACGCGTATTGTATACTCTATATGTGCTGTATCGTGTTGTGCTTATGATATCGATGGAACTGACACACTACTGTTATGTCAGTACTCCTCTGTAAATAATACCCGGTTTTGTTCAGAGTCAAGCGAATTACGATGGTTTGTATGAAGAGGAGTAGAAAGCAATAAATATGCTTTAAAAAAAATTGGAATTGATTAGCGTAACTTTATCGTTAGGTTTGAAACAAATAAAACGTGGAAATTCTTCAAGGTCACAATTGGCGGGTATCCTATTTTAGCATTGGCGATAAGGAGTGGCCTGCGGCGATATTACGCAATTCGATGTTAATGGTGGCCTCGGTCTACACGAGAGAAAACAATGGCGGAACGCCGAGCACGTCAGGGACGTCAAGGCGTGCTGCGACCAGAACGAACCCGCTTTTGTCAACGAAAATTATTAGAGCTTTTGCTTTTGTATTTTGCGGCTTCTAAATCTCAGACGTCAGGGAGCCTCGTACGCTTACGAGTCTAAAATGGCCTCGCGTAGTTACCTACATCCCACGACCTACAAGCTATTAGGAATACCTTTGCGAGATCAGGGTACGTATATATTCTTTCTGTTTCGCACCCTTGTACAAAGGGGTACGCGGTTGGAGGGTGTTTTGAAAATGTATAGACGAAAAGTTCAGGATACACGTTGCGGGAGTTTACGTATCACGCGAACCGCAATGTTTGGGGACGGTGTCAAAGGAGGGTTGCGAAATTTCGAAACGGAGGGTGCCCGAGGTAGCCTTAATTAAAAAAGGAAAAATTATGAAAAGGCTCCCAAAAACCATAAGGAGGGTAAAATAAGTTTACACGAGAAAAGAAGCTTTTTGGACATTACCAGACTGTTTAACATTTTACAGAGGATATTTAAACAGCTACCCGTTACCACCCTCGAAGTCCCAGGTCGAGCATGTGCTTTGGGGCGGTTTTGCGCCCACCTATCGACCCTCTCCCATCTCTTGATCCACCACCCTATCCCCCCTCAGCCTCACCTCGCCCTTACTCAACCTTCCTATACTTCCCTGGGCCCTCGCCCCTCCCTTTAGCCCCTTCACCTTCCCAACAGCCGACCAACCTTCGTGTGCTCACGGACGTGCAAAAAAGGAAAGACGAAAAAACAGACACACGTACAGGCACGCAGACTTATACCTATCCTAATTTTACTCGGCATTCCGCGCAGCTGTGCCAACCTCCCAACGCTACACCCCCTTTCGAAATTTCCAAATTTTACCCCACCGCGACGTATTAGACAAGCTTCCATACAAAGAAGGTCGTATTTCTTTTGCCGAAGACAAAGGAAGGTGAGCGAAACGCATTTACATTCAATGTGTTTGAGGTTAGGATATATCTAACTGCAAGGGTGTAAACTTAGAAAACCCCCTCGATTCTAACACGTGTATTTCTTCCATTTGGATTTCAGTCGCCTTTTAAATAAACACAAATTTATAAGTGAGGAAACGATGTAAGAAATTTTAAATCGCTAAGGACTTTCCTTTTTCGATGGGGATAGGGGATGAAAGGAAGGGGTGGAAAGAGTCAGTTAATCTTACGGGGGTATAGGAAAGATGCTATGGTTTCGGGGTTGAATTATCGACAGCAGTAATAAAGGGTGTAAAGGGTAGCCGCGCCGAATAACAAAGGTGGTGGAAACGGAAGAGCGATATTCGCCGAGGGATATATCGAAGAAGGATTTTCATGGGGATGAAAGTAGGGAAAAAGTATGGAGGGAAAAAGGTAGGAGCACCGATTTACCTATAACCCATTAATCGACCCCACTTTTCTATTAAGAGACGCTCGATTGACTTGCGTTGTTCGGCTTTCCTTTCCCCGATCGCTTCGCTCTCGTTTTCCCATTTTTTTTTCTCTCCGTCAGATTCAACCCCTTCGCGCAGTAACCCGACTCGACGAACAACCCCGTATATTCCGTACCAACCCCTTCAGCCCCGCCAGCGCTTCCATACGTCGTGTCGCTTCGCTTTTCCATAAAAGCGCGAAAACACGTTCAGGTGCGTATCGAATGACCATGCCACCCCGTGAAAAATTTCATCGATTTTCTCTAAAGGATATTTTTTCTCTGCCTTCGCTGTATCTCTATGTTTAGTTTTAACAGACATATGAGTTTACCTTTTTTTTTTCATTTCCCTCTTCCACTCGCCTGAAATATTCATCTAACGTAAAGTACCTACCGTCCAGGATAGACCCACTAGATAGGACTTTAAAAATCTAACATTTTTTATATATACTTTGTCTCGAGAGTCAAAGACATCGTGGTCCATTGCTATCTGATATTCACTTAACCATTTGGGCTACTGCTTGACTGATTGTAACATCGGTTAGCAGAATCTGAAACTATCCTACAAATTTCGGCAATTTGACAGCAATGAGAAGGGGCCAGATCAGCCGGATACTCTTGATTAACCTTGTTAGCTCCATCGGTTTCAGATCGAGCGTAATCCAGCATCCGTATTCTTTGATATTTCAAATACCACATGTCTAATGTAGTATGCACAATTTCTCAGGACTACCCCACTACCTAAAGATGATTCTACTGAATTCATAGAGATCGAATGGAGAGAATCATCTTGGTGCAATAGTACTGAATAACAGTGTATACTGTATTGCTTCTCAATAATGTAGCATAATGTATATCATATGTGTTTGACTATATATTTACGTGTAGTATTCATGAATGGGGACTACAGGTATAGATATGCAGAGAGACAGATACATAATATTATTACAAAATTACCCAAATTACTTAAAATCGTTAAATATCATAAAACAGAGCGATTGAATCTGTTTGATTTATAACAATAATCTTTTTGTTTTAGGTATACCGATCAGAACGATTACGATGATTATTGGAAATTGTGAGGAATTCGAGGAGTGAGTCGACAGCAAAGGGATGCCTTGACCGTAATGTGTTGCGACTTGGCGTGATCGTGCCGGGCGATTTACGCGCCGGATTAGTCCGCCAGTGGCTATTCTGGAGTTTTCGTAATCCGGCCGGTTCGGAAACAGGCCGAGGTAGAGAGACACCTCTCTAAAGGGATCATTCGAGCCAAGTGGCTGGGGTTAGTCGGTGCGTGTACTACCCTTGTGAGGAAGGAGTATATACTAGTATACTTATATAGACTTATGTAGCAATGTTTATATACATATACATATATATATATATATATATATATATATATATATATATTATGTACGTATAGGTTAAAACAGGTATATAGAAGCGTGAGCCAGAGCCAGAAAGAGCCATGAGCCAGAGGGATGAAGAGGGCAAGGCCGGCGAAGGGTTGCCAGGACGAGAGAGGACCCTCTTAAAATACACCCCTGGGAGAGAAAAAGAATCTCGCGGGTGAGGGCGGCGCCCTCATCGCGAATTTCGAGCCGCCATCGCGGCTGTGGGCGTGGCTGCGCAGACGCTGACAAAGAAAAATCGGGAGTGAGAACGATAGCGAGGATTTTCGGGGGTTGCCGGCGATGCTGACGCCGCTTCTCGTGACGGTGATCCTGGCGCTGCCGTTAACGACGGAGGGAAGAAAAAAAATGGTAAGAGAAAAAACAAGGGACGAAACGGACGTAGAGAATGACGCTAAATCTGCAGGAGGGTAAGACGACGGATAATAGGGGTTGGAGGGAAGACGAAGGACAGGAAAATGATGTCTCCGTACTGGTTGCTGCAGAGGGCATCTTCCACGAGAGTGAATGTGGCTGTATGAGAATTTTAGTTCATATACGTGTTTCATCCCTCCCGCGGGTGCGCCCCTTTACTAGTCCTCTCTACCCCTATTTCACTCCTCTCTCTCTCTCTCCCTTTTTGACTCTCCTCCTGGTTCTCTACGACTGAGAATACCCGGGAGAGGGAGCCACCGAAATTATTTTCCACTGGGAACCACCACCACGTGACCGTCAACATCGCTAGCCCCGGTACCAACGTCGACTCCGACGCCGACGCCAACGGTACCACCCTGAAATTTCAGCCCTTTAATTTCAGATGGTATGATAATTCGTGGCAATATTTTACACGAGTCTGGGAACCTGACTCAACGTGGATTTTATTGCAGCCGGCGAACACCTACTTCATGCTACCAAATCATCATATTTTCATAGTTCCAATTACAATAGGAATTATTCGAAGAATTCGTTAAATTTTGCATACATGAAATTTCACAGATTTTTATCTATGCTTCAACGCAAAGCAATACCGTGGAGCTGTCGATCTTGACGCATGTGTCGGGTTTCTAGAAATATAGGACAATGGAATGACTCGATATGAAATCATTCTAATTCTCTCATCGGATCGATTATCTACGTTATACGCGGATCCGTTAAATACTTTTTATTTGGGATTTTCAAATAATACATCAAAGAACGACAGTAAATAATTCACACGACGTAGCGAGAGGATCGGACCTCACTTTCCTCCCTCGATACTATCCCATCCTGTATTCGCTCTACAGCCCTCTGTCAATCCCAACATTTTTTTGAACTTCCCTCTCATCACTTTACCATCATCGACGAATTATGGATTTTGATAGTCTTCTTTGTATTATTTAACAGAAATAAGGGAGACTCCACACAATACGTACCAGTGGCAAGCTGGTACGTTTTCATAGCATCCTTAAGGATCCATCAGTACCCACAGGATCAGCAGGAACATCGGAAGCGTGAAAAGGATGAAAACCTGGATGGTCAAATATCCATAAAGGTATAAAACAGTGAGGACAGATTCAGCCAATCAGAAGAGTTCATCCGTATGAAGTTTATTCGGGCAGGAGAATGGGAGAATTTGAGTCGGGACAATTTTTTAAAATTAAGGCTGTTAAACCTAATCTCCATGTAGCACGATGGTCGCGGGCGCTTGCGCATCTTCATCTGCTGAGCCATTCTAGCAAGAGACATAAAAACAGCGTGTTCCCCTTCAGCAGTTAAATCGCTCTGCGAAACGTTCTTAATATCTGCAGAATGTAACGGGCTCGGTTTGGCCCTCGTGCTATGCGAAGGGGATGGCGCCGCCAGGCTCGATCTCTGGAGTGGGTTTTAAGGGTGTTTCCAGAGGGAGCCTGGATTTTAGGCGTCCTACGACCAGGAAATACCCGGAGCCTCCAGTCGGGAAAATGACTGCGCCCGCCATTCGGGCCCCAGCTAGAGATATGAGATTACTCCCTTCCATTTTTTTCCGTTCTTTTTTCCTTTCATGCGATAAACGTGCGAATTATGCTTAATACGCCGGACTATCTTTGCGTTAGGTTAGGTTGCTATCCGTGCTTTTTATTCGGGATGAGTTTGAATCCCTCGAGCATTCGAATGGCCACTGAACATTTCTACTAAGCTGATATGGTACCTGCTCGTAGGTAGCTATTGTGTTCCATTTTCCCTTTATCAAGTTATTTTCATTGGTTTTTACTCAGGAATGTTTTTTTACAAATATTTTTTCAACTTTCTTATTCTATCCGCGGCTTTTAAGAATTAGTCTAAGGATCGACGTAATGTATAGAATAACACCCTCCAGTGAAGAGAATTGGCCGCGTGTTGTTTTCTGTTGACTTTGGGTTGACAATGTCACCCCTCTTTTCTGCGATATCCTCCACCTTTGTCAGAACCAATTGTACTGACAAAATACTCAAAATAAAAATTGATTGCCAGATGTTTGTTTTTTTTTCTTTTATTTTTCATCAGCTTCTCCAAACAGTCGATATCTTTGGTGCTTATTTTCTGACACTTGTTAATACCTTCGCTAACTTTTCACATCGTACTGGAAGTTGATTCGATTATCATTTGAAACTTTTACAATTTTCATAATTCAATTACCTTTATTTCACAGCTAGCTTGTTTTACGAGAACATTTTTAATTAAAAGAAAGTACATTTATCATACTAATCGTGTGTATTTTTAAAGCGCATGATTGCTTGTTAGATAAGTGGATGAAATTTTGAGAAAAAAATCCCGAGCTATGAAAAGGGAGTCTCATGTCCGGAGACTTGGACGTTGAACCCTGCACAGGATGTGTGGCGTATAGCGCCGCGTGTCGGTCGTTTCTACGCTAGGGGTTTGTTGGTTCATCCGCGCAGTCGGTAAGGTAAATCGCACCACCCCTGGAGACTATTTACCGACGCTGCAGCGTCGGCGTCGTAACGGTCGGCCATCTTGGAAAAACAAAAGCTATGAGTACATGTAGGAAAAACAAAATGAAGGCGCTTGCGCCGGCGGTCCGGTATTGAACGGAGCCCCCGGCGCCTTTTTACTTTTCCAACCCCCGAACGCCGCTTCGCCACCCCTATACATTTTCGTGCTAGCCAGCCCCCCTTCCTCCTCCACAAACTTCTCCATGACTTCCTTCCCTTCCACTTTCGTCTCCTTCTCTATCTATTCTTTACTACCATCTATTGCCGATAGGGTGAGACTTTGTTTTCTTTTTGCATTTTAACACGTTTTTAAATGAATGGAAAAGTAAATAACGCTTCTCCATTCGATTATATTCTTGGGTAATTGGCTCTGATACAACTTAGCCTTCACGGCCTTTTCTTGTCAACTGCCAACCAAATTGCTCTTATTATCTTTTTCTTTCGGAAGCACATTAAAGCGTTCGGTTCCTAAAGAAATCATCCCCTAACCTGTTTAGGGAGATTATTTGAAAAACTTGTTTACCCATACACTTTGTTTTTGGTAGTAATTGAAAAGCTCTGTGGGAGGAAGCTCTGAATTTTTTATTATATTATTATTTTTTTAAAATCATTATTCCTCATTGAGTTTAAGTGCCGTTACAATGTCACAGAAGACAGTAGACATTTTTTAAAAAGCTTGAATTGCGTTTAATGTCACTGGCCGACCAGCTGTAACCTATTCCCTCTCATACTGACATTCTTAAGCATCCAGAGCGTCTGGAGAGTTAATTTCCATTTTAACCACCTGGCAGAAAAAATTCCCTCGCTTCGAGAGACTGCGCTGCGACGTCGTGACGCTGCTGCACTCTACAACACTGCGCCCTGTGTATGACTGGCAAATGGACCAAGTGCCATAGACACTACTACTTTTATTTCTCTCTATATGGAAACACTGAATGGAGCCGAGCATACGTGCTTATGTAGATCGAGTCCAAGGGTGACCACCCTTGAGATTCAAGTTGAAGAAGAAAATCAGGTTTTATTCTTCATCAAGGATCCCTAGGTCTACCTGCTGAATTTTGAGACTGGACCAGAGAAGAAAATCAATAATCGAGATGCTACTGCTTTCTAGTACGTTACAATTTGAATTCCAATATTGCCTGGGTAGTTTTCGAATTTTGTATATTCACGTAAATAAACTACCGTATATAGGCGATTTAGCTGAGAATCTTTTTTTTTAGCTAAAATGTAAATTCACGAAGAAAAAATTCTGAACATCCAGAAAGGCGGTGGCATTAGCAGGACAAATAAAGAAGATTCCAGTATAATCTTTCTTAATGTCCATGGGCTCAGGGTGCCCATTTTGGGCTCGCATTTATTAAGGGTTGTTACCCCCCACCGTCCAAGCACACGTACGGTTCGTGTAAGAGTATACGAAACGGTATATCCCCACCACAGGACTACCCCTCCTTGAGCAACCCTTCTAACCCTTTCATAGAGAATAGTGGAGGGAGAGAACGTAGCGACCCCGCTTCCCACCACTTTCTAGATTAGATGAATAGGGGAGGTTAGATGAAAGTTCAGATAAAACGCAGGGTGAGTCAGCTCGCTCAGAAATATAGTTTCAGGCCGACCGACAGGGAGAGACACTCGTCTCAGGATTTCCTCTTCACGTATACGGATTTTCCATTTCCTTCATCTCCCTCAGTTTTCCTCGTTGCGTCATCGACTTTATCGACAATGCCATTCCGTCCTGACCAACCTATCAATCCTATCTCATCGAACGGCATTGTCAGGGTGCGATCGTGCAATTACGAAGAACCGGAAGTGATAATGGGACGGAGATAAAAATTTCGAGAAATTTTCTTCATTTTATCTGACTCTCTTTACTCATTGTTTTCTCTCCTTCTTTTCACTATTTTTTTTTCTCATACTGTAATCCTACCTCTGTCTCCTCTCTCTTCTCTCCGTTTTATATCTATCATTCGCTCTCTCTCTATCCCTGCGAGCGGTGTTGCATTACGCATTATTTAATGGACATTTTTCGCTTTGTTCAGCCAACTCATTACGTCGGTCCGATTGTACTTTGCGTTGGTTCCTACCATGGAAAAGCAACGGCGCGGTACAGTCGCGCCATTGCATAATGAACAGGACAGGCATAGCCATAGTCAGCGTCATAGTCAGAGCGACACTCCGAGTCATAGTGAGTGTCAGAGTGAGAGATACTACTATGACGCTACAAGCTACACAACCCCCTAACAGAATCCTCTTTGGCATCCCTCGTGAACGAGGGAAGCTATTATTTTTCTGTATTACGTGACGTCACGTTACGCCATGTGTAGTTACGGGATCACCAAAAAGAGAAGGATATTTCGAGAAAAAAAAAAATTTGAAGGTATACGCTGCCAAAAATTCTGAAAAAAAAAAATTATGCCGGAAGGCAACTACGTTCGTGACAGAAAATTATTTTATATGGATATCACAAAGAATTTCATCTTCGAATAAATTCATTAAAAATCGTTCTTCCGCGGGCTACGAAATGCATTCGAGAAAATATTGAATAAAATTGATATATGGGAGCTTTAAACATTTGTCGGTTTTTTTTTTTTTTAATTATTTTGAAAATTGAAATGCTACCTCTTTGGATAAATAAAATGACGTAACGTACCGACTGTACTCATGTATTCACCCATACGAATTTAGGTCCGACGAGGATGGCGGCCTCTGCGGGGCAAAATTAGAGGCTACCGTCCAAAGTTCTACGCTACACGTTTGCATTTCCTATGCATTATTTGTCCGCTGTGAGGGTACAGTATGTTGCAAAAGATGAGGATTGTTTGCTGGAATCGTTCTTTCAAAACATTTATCTTTTACAAAAATTATATACATATATGTATGCATATATGTGTGCACATAGTACTGATCGATAGTACAGTTAACATTTTGATCAAGCATACGTATACATATAATCAAACCCTATTCTAAATTTTTGAATTAAGTATATATAATCATATCCACGTTCTAGGAAACGACTGCTCGTTTGGCTTTTGCCGCTCGAAATCTACTGCACTTTGCATAATCGTATTACCGTTAGCAGCTCTCATTACTCCTAGTTCATTCGAGTTCCATGCTGCATCTGAATGCATCCGACACGAATGTACGAATGCGGTTGTACTTTACTCGCTAGTAAATAAATATGATTATAAAACATTATTTAAAAATAATTCTTGACTTTGCCATACTTTCGCATCACCCTGTACAGCGAAGATTCTAGAAGCGTTCCCTTTGGATATATTAAATTCCTATAGCCAAGCATACAGCTACCACTCCTTTCTTTGATATTGCCATTCTGACACACATAGGGACCCCAAGTATTATTCCATAGAAGATATCCATGCTCCTGGGAATCCAGACTAGTCGTATCGGTATAAAAAAAGGAAAACATTTTTTTTAGCTATGTCACATCAAGAATACGTATAATCTTTCTCGTGTTTCTCTTTAACGTTATCTTGTTTCTTTCATGTGTAATAGTAAATGAAAAAACTTGAATAAAAAAATTTGTAAGCACATCCTGTACAATGCGTACAAAAAAAAATATTCAGACGATTCACTAAATTTTGCTATCAACTGTACTGATGTGGGCCGCCCTCTCCGGAGGCATTAGATGCAGTGTATCGGCAGAAGGGTGGCAATGTGCGCGCGCATCGGTATTAGACACCATACCCACAGCTCATTTGCCAACTCTGGGAAATTTACCAAATTTAAATGCAAAATCAACCCTCCTTACTCCTCTTCCTCATTCTCCTTATAATACACATCCTACCAAGAGTAGATAGGGCCTGCCAACGTTAGATACGTAGAGAAAGGGGCTTGATAATGGCTGCATACAGTTTTCGTATATATTTGAAACAAATGCACGTAAAAACAAAAAAAAAGTTGAGTAAAATTGGTCAATACCATATGAAAGGTATGAAACGCCATTAAAAAACGGACAGGTAAATAATTATATTTTCGAACGGTTTTCTCACTTTTCTATCGCGCTTCCCATCCGCGAGATATTTCTCATTATTATTCGTACTACACTTCAGATCGTTTTGTTGTTTATTAACGTCGTTGATTATTCATCGTTCATCATAGGGTACGCGTTACACGTTGTACGCGGTATTAAAATAGCGAATACCAAAAGTTACATACCGTAATGAGAATTCTGTTGCGATATGTGCTAACACGAGTCACCCGTTCACTCGAATGAACCCGAACGAACCCGAATGAACGAGAACGAACTAACGAAATACATTATAGATCTGTCACTCATTCTGTGTGCTACATATGTACAATTGTACACGGTTTTAAGCACCTACTTCTATATGCTCGACAGATAGGTATGTACTCTATACTGATGGGATACTGAACGATGCATTAAACAAGGTTAGTCCTTCGATCCTGTACAACTTTTGAAAAACTACTAGACACTTTTTTTATTTACAATTAATTGGAGTTAACGGAAAGATGCTAATTGGTATG